AGGAACAGGCAGCGAGACATCGCGAAGCCTGTTACGACAAGACGCGGTCTGGCGTAAACCTACCTTGTCAGTAAAACTACGATCTTTCGTCAGTAACATTAAGATTTCATCGTAAAATTACGAATTTATTCCAAAATTTATGAGTAAAGTTTGTCGAAAATATGACAATTGTTCATTTCATGAATCTTGTAGTTATTTTACGAATTATTATTTGTAAAATTACAACACTAATTGTTGGGATTACTGTTGTACAAGGTAGGTTTACGCCAGACCGCGTCTTGTCGTAACAGGCTTCGCGATGTCTCGGTACCTACCTTGGCCTGCGGCGCTAGCCTGCCTGCGGCAGGCAATGGCTTGTCCGTTGTCGGTTATTTTTTAACTTGTTGAATGCTGGGGGGCTCCGCCCCCCAGACCCCCCTACATTCTAAATAGAGTTGTTTTATCTACAGATAACACGATCTTGACCCTTGTCACTTTTTAACTTGTCGAGGCTGGGGGGCTCCGCCCCCCAGACCCCCCTTTATCCAAGACAGAAGTGGTCTATCTGCAGAAATGTCTACTTTTCGCCGTTTTTTAGGTGTTTTTCGCCTATAAAAACTGAACCAGTTGAGCTAGGATGGTGAAATTTGGCGTGTGCCGAGCCAAGGACATACCCAAGAAGTGTGCAAAATCTCACCGAGATCGACCGAGCCGTTCAGGAGGAGTAGTGCGGACAGACAGACCGACAGACAGACCGACAGACAGACAGACAGACAAAACTTTTCAACCCCACTGGAGTAACAGGCTTTGCTATCGCTCAGCCAAACAGGCTTCGCTATCGCTCAGCCAAAAATAACGACACCTCTTAACAGTGCAGCTGAGTATGCATCTGTAGACGCATGCTGAGTACACACTTCAGTTTGCAGAGTAAGATGTACTTCCCCTAGAGAGGTCGAGACACTGGAAATGGCCGAAAACTGACTTGTGCGATTGCTTCCATACGTGTCGTTCCACATTGTGAAAACGTTTTTTGTGTTAAGACCTTACGAGAAGAAGCATTTTGAGCCCAGAACGGCGTCGATAGGACGTCAGAAAACTGAGCCGATGCCAAACAAATTTTCGTTAAAAATCGAACTGGTGGAAGTCCCTTAGTCCGCAAAAATGAAGATATCGGAGCCCCCTTTGAACCTAAATGAAGGTAATTGAAGCATCTGTCGCATGAACTACAACCATGAACATCAAACTATCGACAGTACAAATTTTTACGAAAATAACATATTTTGATCGTTTCTGCAAATTCGTCAAAAATCGTATTTGGATGTAATTTTGCACTGTCGATAGTTTGATGTTCATGGTTGCAGTTCATGCGATAGCCACTTCCATTACATTTTGACGAAAACGGGGTTGTGATATCTCCATTTTAGCGGACTAATGTAAGGGACGTCCACCAGTTCGAGTTTTGACGAAACTTTGACTGGCAGCTGCTCCGCTCCCTGACGTCCGATCGACGCTGTTTTGGGCTTTTCCTAGGGTATTAACACATGAAGAGTTTTACCAAACGCAGAACCACGCGTATGGAAGCAATCGCATAAGTCAGTTTTCGGCCATTGTCAGTGCCTTCAGTCCCTTAATATCATTGAGTACCCTTGCAGCTGCGTGGCAGGCTGCCTACGTCGCTTGTTGGTTAGCTGTAGCTCAGCAGGTAACTACGGCACCCGGACTACTAGACGGCCTCCAACAACCAGGAGCGAAGCCAGGTCTGTTCGTTGTAGACTTCAATGAGGGGCAGTCACCACCGGTCCCCACCGCCACCCATCAAATTTTTTAGACGAATGATCCATTCATGCTACGTTTATTCGAAGACAGTTGATCCAGGAAGCGGAATTGGGCTTTTCTTCATTTAGTTTGCTTTCAACCCCTTTCAACGGTTTACATCATTGCAGACTCAATCCCTAGACGTGAAGGAGAAAATCCACTCGGAGCAAGCTAGGGCCCGCCCTTCCGTCGAACCGAGCCAGCGCCGCTTCGCTGCGCCGGCAACTGGAGTTGCAGGACTGGTTGCACTGCAAGAAAACACCACAACCAAAGTACACATATTACTGGCAAATTTTTTTTCAGGAATTTATTGTACTTTCAAAGTACAACAGTTGTTGTACCATTTCTCACTGCATACCAAACTACCAACCCTATGGCTCCATTTCTGCACACAGATCTCACTGCTCTAGTCAGGAATTTAATGAAGCATTTCGTTAAAGCTGACTATTTGAAAGGTAAAAGTGATGTTAGTGCAGTAGACAATACGACTGAGGCAAATCTTAATCCTGTAATAAACTTCAAATTAAGTCACTCTGTAAGAGATGCCTTTCAAAAAACAGAGATTACTGCCCAAGAATTGAAAAACTTCATGAAAGACTGAGTTCCGCTATTTTAGAATATGATAGAGAAAATTCTAGACAAGAGTCCTCTACATTATAAGTTGTGTAAGAGTATTCGTGACCCTGACTTTTGCCAATCTGAAAGTGGGTCCAAAGCCCGTCTGGACTCCCTGTTGACATTCTTGCGGACAACAAACTGGTGTTCTCCAGCAGAATGTGACCCAATTTTGAAAGAATTTGGATCTCCTTGCCAAGCGCAATAAAGAATGCTGTTAAGGAATATGACCGCAAAGCCTCGCGGCTTGACCATTTTTGGAGGGGTATTTGGGAGATGCTCAGATGTCTTCAAGACTCTTCTGAACAGGGTCCTGATTATTTCCCATGGAAGGGTGATTCCGTGCGTAGGGGGTCATTTTGGATGTACCAAATGTTCTTTTTTAAAGTTCAACATTAGGGGCTAAATTTGGTGTAGATGGCATACATAGTACCCCACAGTACCCCTCTGAGCGTGGCAGCGCTACAAGTTGACTTTTATTTTCACTCCCTATGAAATACGGCGGAATTTACAGAAATAATGACGGAATTTACAGATTACGGAATTTACAAAGCGAAGTATTTAGTCTCCTGAACCGCTGGGTTACATGATAGGTAAAAACTGTTGACGGTGTCATTTTCAGCATCCAAAATAGCATTTTTCAGCGAAGGTTGTGGGAACTTTCTCCCTCAGATGGAGGAGCTACGGCCCGAAACGGAATTTACATCCATTTTTACACCCTTACCGTTTTGAACTCTTCTCACGGCCTGGAACCGTCGTTTGACCGCCCCAGGTCCCGTGGGCACGGGCTTCTGGAAGTGTTTAAGGGGGGACCCTGGTGAAACTTTCAAGTAGGCTTCAAAATAATCCCAGGAAGTTGAAACTTTGCTTAATTATTAGATTCATTATAGTGAGTTCCCAAAACAAAATTCAATCCAAAATGTTGAACGGTCTCTAAGAAAAGTGGCTTTTTAGTGTTTTTTGGAGCGTTGAGGGAAAATCTTCCTGCGTCTTTCATTGGGACGGAAAGTCTTGAAAATTTTTTTGGGTTATCCTAAAAATGTATAGAAGAGATTTTAGTGACGGAATTTTCAAATTCAACTTCTGTCCTGAGATATGAGTTTTCAAATTTTAACATAAAAAAAAGTGATTTTTTTTCCCTTTTTTCAAACTTTTAGGTGTGTTTTAAAAAAAGTAGGGCTGATATCAAGATTCCGTCACTAAAATTTGTCGACAAGTCATCAATGAATAGAGTCCATGCAAGACGACTCATGTAGGTGTCAACCAGGAACGCAGGAAGTCTTTCTACGACAAAATTTTTTGTCGACTGAGCAAAGCTGTGAAGTTGAGCGTTGAAGCCAACGACAACTGATCTCAATGTTATTTCCTTCCAAATGATAAAGAAACAAACCACTTAGCTTAAAGGTGTTCAACCTGTTGAATCTGAAACCTTCTATGCACATTGTTATCTATGAACTTTAAAAATACAATTTATTGGAATTTTGGCGATTTTTTCACCAGGGTCCCCCCTTAAGTTCTTTCGATCCCAAGTGGTCGCGAGTTTCTAAAATGAAAAGGAACCCCAGTAGACCGTCATTTGTAAAAACAGCATAGGTCACATGGTCAAACGGTGGACATTTTCCCAAAGGCTGTTTCGGGTTCAACAAGTGATGATACAAAGGTCACCCTCCGTAATTTTGTGAAGAATAAGTCAGGGGAGAGAGTGAAATAGCCAGTTTTCTTTTGATGTGGCTGAGTCAAATACTACAGCATGGCAATGTTGTCTTATAGGTGTTGGTGACCATGACGGAACTTACAAAACGACACTTTAGCAGCTTACGAAACCCAGATAAACAAAAGTTAGATCGACTTATCGGAGGACATGGTCTTCTTTTAGTAAAACAAATTTGAATTGCCCAAGCTATCAAATCACCCTCAGTTCAGGCGCAAGGCCCCGGTGACCTGAAATGACCCCCTACGCACGGAATCACCCGGAAATGCCTTTCTTGAAAGGGGTCATTCTATAAACAAGGTAGGTGTACGCCAGACCGTGTCTTGTCGTAACAGGCTTCGCGATGCTGCGCCAGTTCCGATAACCGATTCCGCGTTTCCCCGTTTACACGGGGCTCTACCAGCCCGCCTTCGGCAGTTGTCACGATCAGTATCTTCGAGAAAGGAGGTCCACCGACTGAAAAGTTTTGTCCTCATTGGTACATATTGTGAATAGAAGGGTGGGCCTTAATCAGGATGGTACATCGATGAGTTTGTGTTACCACCTAATTTTTTTTTTTTGGGGTGTCGGAAGCGAGGGCCGAGGGCCCGAGGAAAGGCCGCCGGCAAGCCAAGCTGGGCCTGCCCCCTGTCGAACCCAGTTGCTGGCGAAGCAGAGCTGGCAACTCTGTTCGACGGAAGGGCGGGCCCTAGCTTGTTGATTTTGTAATCATATTTAAAATTCATTCGTTTACCTGCTTGCTTACAGTTTTTGTTTTCCTTGAAGGCCAAAACGGAGTTTTCTCCTTCTTTCGCTTCCTGGATCATTTCTATTACAAATATTAATCATACTATTTTTGTAGCCATTAAATCAATGGGCATGCCAGCTGATTCTTGTCATGATGGTCAACTTAACAGGGCCAACTGTCCAAGTTCGCGAGGGCTCACTTCGCGGTCTACGAGACGTATCAAAATCTGGAATCACATTTTTGTCCTTTCTTGGTGTTCCGTACGCAAAGCCTCCCATCGGCGAACGTCGATTCAAAGTAAGCATGACTCGCTGGAATTGCTCCTGCGGAGATCTATGACAAAAATTATTGGATGAAAATGTGAAGTGGCTTAAATCCTCCTCTCCCCCCCCCCCAAAAAAAAAATCATACACACATACCTACACCTCCTACGGTGCTCGAAACCAGCATTTTCAGACGTGCAAAGTTTGCAAACTTTAAACCGCGACATCTCCTAAATAGTTTTAGATAAAAATCTGCGCGTGGTCTCATTCCCTCCAGCGCGTCATTTTATACACGAAAAAATCATCAAATATTTTTGTTTTGCTAAGCAATAAATGGATTAGATGAAAGAACTCAAGTCTGAATTCGTGAAGAATCTGACAGAGTGGGCAGGGGGGACATTCCACGTGAAGTCAACCAGGCCTTAGCCACCATGGACTCCTATCAGGTTCTCGTTTCCAGGCTTAGTTACGCCTATGGTCCCATGCACTGTTAAAAATCAGCTCCAAAATTTTAAGGAGAAAAACCCTATAATCACGTCCATGGAGACTCCATGCATTTTCCATCTTTGTTCGGAGAGATTTTCCCAGGGCTTTAACAGATGTTCTTCAAAGCATTACTTGGGTCCTGATGGGAGGTAAAATGCATGTCTTTTTCAGATATTTCAAAGAGGGCTTCGCTGACGCATTCTTAAGTCTCAAATGGTCAAATAAGGGACAATCTCCTTCGAGCTCATTGGAGCGCCATCCTGTAGCTTTCCCTTAATATTATGAAAACTGAGGTAAACAAGTAGGGGTTTACCTTTCCCTCATTTTTTTACTGGTCGCAAACCTTTTTTCGTGTTTTCGTTATAGTGAAGCATGCATTTTTGTTCAAAATTCCAAAACTTTTCGGAGAAAGCCCAGAATTTGCATTTATGGCGAGCTCCATGCACAAGTTTCGGACAAACTCTATGATTTTTCCATTTTTGTTTTTCGGAATTTTCTGATAGTGCAGATAGTAAATGAAATTAACTACAATTTCCTATAGTCGTATTTTTCATTCTAGGGACCACATCCTCCTAATTCTTGGACTGGTGTCCGCGACGCGACAAAAGAGGGGCCCTGGTGTCCGCAAGCTTTGTGGTCGAGGATGGTTCGTTTGCCGCTCATGAATGAATATGGCCGGCTTTTCACTGATTTCGTGAGGGAACTGGTACGATGATAAGTGTGAAATGCCTAGTACAAAATTTCACGTGTGCCAAGGTAGGAAAGCGGCTCACGGGTGAATGCTGACAAAGTGACCTGAACAGTCGTCTCCGTATTGGCTCTCATGCAAGACACGAATTCTGAAAGATTGACTTGAATGGAAAGTAGAGGTAGCTCTTAAAATGTGGTTTTTTACAATATCTGGTTTTAGTTGGTTAAAGAGGGTACTTCGGAGAAAATCCAGACCGGAAGTCGGTGACAAAACGGGGGAAACAAAAGAACGTCGCGCGGCCGTGGGGACCGGAATGGGCTGAGTGGGAGTCGGTGGGAGTAGCATGCGTCCGCCGCCTTCACTGTTAAAACCTTGCGAACCGATGTATTTGTGAGCTTGCGAAGAACCGGTCTCTCTTGCTTGGAGTAATGTGGTCATGGTGTTAACTGAATCAGGTTTGACCTGAACTCTTTTCTATTAGTTAGTTTGAATTTAGCGCATGCGCACTTAGAAATTTTTGGATTTTGCTCTTAACCCAGTTATGAAAACGGGACCACCTTGCAATGCGATTAGCATTGGAATTTCCTTTTTCAAGTATTTTTTTTGTACTTGCTCTGTCTAAGTATAGCTTATTTCTTTTGCCACATGGACCTTGCACCCGCAAAGTCTCCCGATACTGCAGAAGCGATACCCGGGTTGCTTTGGGATGGAAAACTGGCAAACATTAAGATGGACGAGGATTGTCTCTCCCTTAATGTGTATACGCCTCAGGTACGACTTCAAGGATGCCACCTTCAGAAGATCTTGTCTGACCGTCGCCGGATTATATCTTGAAGGATTGTATCTTTCGGCACAGTGCCATCGTGCCACCCGTCAAAACACTACAAGATCAAATGTGTGCTTAGTACACAGCTGTGGGAGCGTACTTGCAAGCACACATCTTTAGGTGTATGCTTGCCAAGTACACATCTATAGGTGTATGCTTGGACAAGCACACAACTATAGATGTATGCTTGGCCAAGCACACATCTATAGATGTATGCTTGGCCAAGCACACAGCTGTAGGAGTATGCCTTTAAATGGGTGGGATTAAAGTGTGCTTGGCCAAGCATACACCTATAGATGTGTACTTGCCAAGCATACACCTGTAGCTGTGTGCTTGCAAGTACGCTCCCATAGCTGTGTACTAACAAGGGAACGTTTTCAGGTGTCAGGAGCCGATTGCTCCTATACTTTGGGATCTTAAAGACCATTTCAAGAAAGAATTTTCGGCACCCACAGTTCGTGCTAAGAGTCACTACAACGCCCTAAAATGAAAGTTCAAGGTCAGGGCCGGCCCGTTTTGGCCAAGCCGTCGGACGGCGGCCAGTGGCCAGTCAGTCGGGTCACGCGGCGAAAGTGCGTGTGTCACTTCGAGTTGTCACTCCTATTGTTGCTAGGCCACTAGGCCGTTGGCATTGCCACCGCGGGTTATACCGAAATCCACCCCACCACTGTTTGGTCAAACCTGAACAGTAAGGAAATCAACTTCGCAAACTGTACGATCTTGCGGAATCCCTGTTTTCCTACCCTCTTCTATCCTTTGTTTCTGTTTCTGAGGGTGGCTCACTCATCCCTGGTGCACCTTGCCTGGGTCGGCGCTTGCTCTGGCAAGCCTTTGGGGACTGTGGCGACTCCTCGGGTGTAAAGGTCAGGCGTGCCTGGCTCCAGTTGAGCCTCCAAACTTCTAGTGGGCCTCTAGCCAGCTTCTTGTGCGACTGTCGTACTTGCTCGTCTGCGCTTAGTGAGTTCCCCAATGTCGTTAAGTCTAGCGAGGGCAAGCGAGCGAGTTGCCTCTTCAGAGTCTCTCGCAATGCCAGAAGGCCGCTTCCGAGCACCGTCTCGATGACCCTCCTAGCCAGCCCCACTGAGCTTGTACGCGGGCGCGCGCTTTTGCGAGATGTCCTGGGGTATTTGTGCTCCACCCCCAAAAACAAAAACAACGAAACGAGGAAAGGATAGGCTCGGATGGTCAGAGGTTCTGCGGTGTGGCAGGGGTAATGGTGTCCCGCACGGTGCTGTGGAGACTGGGAAAATTCATAAGACCTTTTCAAACTAAAACAATTACCATGGCAAATTGTAATTTCTGCTCTTCATTTTTTTCGTCGGGAACTAAGAATCATCTGCTTTCATGGACGTTCTTTGAAGATAAATATTTTGGTCGAGTTTATGAAAATTGGTCAATTTTCAACTTTTATTTTAGGGCGTTGTAGTGACTTTCAGCACGAACTGTGGGTGCCGAAAATTCTTTTTTAAGGTGGTCTTTAAGATCCCGAAGTACGGGAGCAATCGGCTCCTGACACCTGAAAACGTTCCCTTGTAAGCGCACATTTGATCTTGTAGTGAATTGAAAGTCGCCGATAAATAGAAATCAAAACGTCGGGAAATTAAAAAATGCCCATGCACTGTTAAAAAATGGTTGTACAGGAACAATCAGATGAGTGAAAATTTAGTCGTTCCAAAACATAGAATTTCATCATGAACCAAAGCAAAACAAATGTCGTTGAGTCTAGTAAGAGACATTTTGTCGTTGAAGAACAAAATTCTTGTGATCACTCTTTACGATACAATTTGTTTGGAAACAACATCTTTTGCAATTATCTGCTCAATTAAAGCATATTATGAATGATCATCTATTTTGTTCTTCTAAGTCATAGAAAAATTACTATTGTTAAATAAAAACCATGCACAATAAATTTAGCGACATAAGTACTCTATGAATGTTGTCGCAGACATTACAAAATTTCTTTTGGACTTTCAATACTTGTCGTTGATGAGTTATTGTTGGTGCATTATTACAAGTTAGTCGTTGTGAAATTATCCCTTAGTTCCAATACAACTACAGTTTAACAAGCTATTCGTTCCACAACAAATCTTGTCGCTAAAAAAGTTAGCGATAAATGTGTCGCTAAGTTACGACAAAATTTTTAACAGTGTGCAAAAACCCATTGATTTGTGTCCCGACATCGGAACATCTTTGAAATCTATCATTAGTGAAAAGGTCGTAACACGTGGTGGTGGCCAGACTAATCCTCGCGAGTTCATGATGAAGCGCTGTTGAGCGCTCCACCCAGCAGTGGTGCGGTGGCCGAGAGGTCAAGGCACAAGACATCCAAGTTGAAGTTTCGGGTTCTATGCCGACCGCTTTCATCGGCCCGAGACGAATTCTCCTCGCCAAACTTGAAACTTCACAATATTGGTTCCGAGCATACTTTTCAGCTCCACGACTCGAAAATTGCCATTTGGCGTAGGAAAGAAGCCTTCTGATCGCCAGTGGCCAGCAAAATTTAGTGTGCCATGGCGAATGAAGTTTCATTGCCACTGGCACACAAAATTCATTAAGGGTATAACTAAGAAGGGGCGTTTCACTAGCCACAACACGAAAATTCGTGTCCAAATTTTTTACAGTATACTTTTTCTACAGTTTTTGCACAAGGAAGCTCAGATAAGGTTTTCCACAAGTGAATTAAGCCAAAGAATCCGAATCTGGGTCCGGAATTGAGATAGGACTCATACTTCAGGAGATAATGGCAAAAAACTGCCAAAAGTTGCCAAAAAAGACCCAAATCTTGGGGAAACGGCCAAAAATTCTCGTGAGAGGCTTTCCTAGTAGTCTTAACTTTAGAGAATGAGCCAAGGAATCCAATGAGCACCACCCCAAATTTTTCCGACGAGCCGTTTAGAAATGGCAGACCTTCAACGTTGAGCATTTTTTTTCCTTTCAATTTTTTAAGCTTCTTGACCCCGCAGGGTTGTATTTTCTTCTAGCATCCCATCGGTAATGTCCCCTGCCATCCAGGGTCACGTGGTACGAGCACCGCGATGCAAAAAGTAGGAATCGAATGCGCAGCACTCAGCGCCTGTGAGGATCCAGAATAGGCAGACCCGTCAAGCGGGCGCGCGAGATGGGCAGCACCGCTCCCCTCTCCTTTCTCGTGCCTCCCAGAATTTCTCGTCACTTCACTTGTTGCTGTTGTTATCACTGGGGTTGTAATTGATGGCGTTAGCTTTGGTGTCTGTGTTGGGTCGGAGCCGGGTCGGGGCCTATGGACCGGGACTTCGTCGGAGTCTAGGGAGAAGAAAAATTACGTACCTGATCGTGCTTTGGCATAAAAACAACGCTATGCACGCGAAATTCAACCGTTCCCGTGCAACCGATTCGAAAACGAACCACTGTCGATTCAAAAATTTCGAATATTCGAACCACTGTCGATTCAAAAATTTCGAATATTCGGGGTCGAAGCAAAGAGATCCGTCCCCGAACTATTCGCACATCCCTACTTGGCCGGCGACATCCTAGGAGAGGGCACATATGGTGTTTTATCGGTTCCTTGTGTGCATACTGTTGTAAACCCGAAGGTGGGAACAGGAGGCGGTTGAGATAGGATTTGGTAGGACAAGTATGGTGGTATTTCGAATCATCAAACAGTCAGCTCTCAGTCGAAGCGCGCTGCATGAATAGATATGCGAGCAGAGCCCTGGACAAGAACCTGCAGTACATTTGGCAAAACATATATCAGCCTGACATGAGTCTCCATGGTTAACAACAACATATTTGAGATGAGTTGCAGATGAAGTTGCCTTAACTTCCCATGTCTGATCTAAAACTTCAGTAACATCCTTATCACTGATCTTGAGACCTCGCTCGTACCTCTCATGGATGTGCTGAGGTAAAGCACTGAAACCATGACATGCTTCTCTGAGTCGAGTACAGTGGTCTTCCCGCATCGCGATGTTCGTACTACGTGACCCTGGATGGCAGGGGACATAACCGATGGGATGCTAGAAGAAAATACAATCCTACAGGGTCAAAAAGCTTAAAAAATTGAAAGGGAAAAAAAGGCTCAATTTTGAAAGTCTGCCATTTCTAAACGGCTCGTCGGAAAAATATAGGGTTGTGCTCATTGGATTCCTTGGCTCATTCTTTTAAGTTTCGACCACTGGGAAAGGCTCTCACGGGAATTTTTGACTGTTTCCCCAAGATTTGGGACTTTTTTTGGTAACTTTTGGCAGTTTTTTTGCCATTATCTCCTGAAGTATGAGTCCTAGCTCAATTCCGGACCCATATTCGGATTCCTTGGCTCATTTTACGTCCGGAACACCTAATCTCAGCGTCTCAGTGCAAAAACTGTAGAAACAGCAGAAAATACCCAAATTCAAGCTAAAGAAACTCAAAAATATAGAAAAACGGCTGCAGATTGGTCAATAAATTTTTGCCGGACCTGCTACTCCGGCTTTTAGCATCTCTCTAGGGTACTAAAACACCCACCAAAACTGAGCCAAATCGGAGAGGTGAAATCCAATTCTGTCACGTCTTATATATTCTTGCTCTGAACAAAAACTAGGTTGATCTGCCTGCTAAGTCCTTGCTGCCGGTCCTCGTCTTCTTCCACGGTGGTGCCTACCTTTGGGGAAGTGGCTCCAGATTGATGTATGGTCCTGACTACCTGATGGACCGCAGCGTAGTCGTCGTGGTCCCAAACTACCGCCTGGGAATTTTAGGTCAATATTGGGTCTTGGTACATGGTAAAAAAATTTCTAAAATGTACAGACAAATACAGCACGGAAGTACGGAAAAAAGGTACGGAACACGGAACGGAACGTCCGTAACTGTCCCATAACCGTAGTACGACAGGTACGGACGGTCCAGGCAAATTATTGACCAGACATGTTCCGTATTTTTTCCGTACTTTTTTCTCGCAGTGTACGGACGTCATTAATGTTCGTGAGTTTCCTGTGCCCTTTACTTCCGCGTCGGTGTATCAGGCTTCCTCGGCAGCAACACCTCCGACGCCCCGGGCAACGCGGGCCTCAAGGACCAGGTGCAGGCTCTGCGATGGGTGAAGAATAATATACGCAGTTTTGGCGGCGACCCGTCGAAAGTCACCATATATGGCGAGTCCGCGGGCAGCGCCTCAGTTCACTACCACATTCTGTCGCCTATGTCCGCTGGTAAGATGTATCAGGGATTATTTAAGTGGGGACATCACTTGAAGGGAAGACTCGTCATTCTCCGTCACAAAAAATAATCGAGTTTTGGTTTTAAATTTTTTATTTATTTTTTTATATTTTTCGTGCCAAACCCTTGAGTTGGGTGATTGGCTGGATTCTGAATTCAAAAGTTGAAGTCTCCGCCTAATTTTCAATAATAGGTCATATCATGTCAACGGTGCCCTCCGGACAAAATATGATTGCAAAATCGGATGTAGCGTCAAAAGTTTAGGGGGTGACAGTTCACCTGTGAAATGATTAAATCCAAATCAGGCACTGATCTCATCATTTTGTACTCACAAGGGACTCTGCCAAGGCAAGGAAGTGCTTCCCATGACTCACACTCTATGGTACCTTTCCCCATGAGTCGCAAGACACCATGAGAAGTTGTTCCAAAAATCACGGGGAATCGTTCCCATGGAAAGAATCGGCCCATGGCATCCCATGCACCGCCATGGCTCATGGGATGCCCCATGGTTTTTTTGGACTGGGATCGCTGTCCTTACCATCAGGCCAGTCAACTTAACTAAAAAACACTGTAAAAACCTTCGAAGTATCAAACTTTCTAAGATGCCTTAAAATGGACGGTTTTAAACAGTTAACGCTCTAAGACTTTCAAATTTCACATCCAAAGCTATGACATGTGTTAACATTTTGTTTGTCTTGCTAAGACGAATCCAAATTCTTATGCAGATTTCAATTTGGTTAATTTTAAGAAAATTATAGCGGTTACTACACTGCAAACAAGTGAATTAAATGCTGTTTCTCAGAATGCCAGAGCCATCTTGGTGCAAAGTAGCCACGGATCGCCTTCGCGGCCAACTTTTGCGGTTTGGAGCTCATTTAGTGCAAGAAAAACTACCATTTCAAGTCTCAGTTTCAGAACCATTCTTAATCATCCTGGTGATTCACGATTTGTGACAAAACTGTCTATTCTGCAGCAATTATTCAACCTTTATACAATTTCAGAAGCAAACAGCAAATTTTCGACGAAAATAAATCATTAACAGACCAAAATATGAGAAAAAACACTCAGATATGTATGGTCATGGTGCCCCACTAAAAAGTGGTCATGGCTCCCCACAATGCAGTTTACGACTCTAAGGCCCCCCGAGCAAGCAAAAAGCTACTTAGAATTAAATGTGATGTTGGATATTTTGCCGGAGAGCCGACATTTTGAGAAAAACCCAAGACATCGAACTTTTCTCCTCAAATGTGAGAGTGAGAAAAAATATCTAAGATTTGAAAAATGCCCAATTTAGCCAAAACGCTGTAACAGAAATTTTGGCGAGGTGCTATGGTCGTACCCTTGAAGCTAGAAGGTAGGGCTCTGGCTGAAAACAGTTAGAATTCTATTCTCTCGAAAGTCCGGTCGACCGGTTGCCGTCGGCAAAGTAGTTCCCGATAGCGAGGGGGGTGGTCATGGTGCCCCACCCTCCCTTACGGTGGGCGCGACGTATCATGAAGTCGAGACACTGCACGTCATGATGCATGAGCGCAGCATGGCACAGCGGTTAAGTGCGCTGCTTCACAACACGAAGATCCGAGGTTCGACTCTCCCCAAGGGCAACAAGATTTCATTGCCCGAAGGGGAAGGTAAAGGGGTAAGGATGGTCGGCAGTGGCACATTGAGGTCAAGCCAACACGCTTGCGTTCAAGTTTTAAACCAAAATTTTTAACGCTGAACATGGGACGTCCCTCGGTGGTCCGGATAGTTAAATTGTAGTCTACACAGAATTCTGTCATTATTGTGATATCTATGTTGAACAGTTACATTGTTACGGGCACTGGCAAATAAATTTTCATGACTTCATTTTGGTATGATAGGGGTATTTTTATTACAAGTCTATTTTACACATGAATATATTTCAACCTAGGATAGTTGTCATTCTGCTCACGGTAAAACCGATGTCTGGAAATTTCCAGATATTTTTTTCCCATTGTGGAAATGGCCGTTTTTTTCCAGACATTGTCTGGAAATGTCTACTTTTTCCAGATAATATCTGGAAATGGTCAAATCCCAGATATATATCTGGAAAAAAACGGCATTTCCAGATAATATCTGGAAATAGAATTTTCCAGATAATATCTGGAAATAGAATTTTCCAGATAATATCTGGAAATAGAATTTTCCAGATAATATCTGGAAACAGAATTTTCCAGATAATATCTGGAAATTTCCCAGATATTGTCTGGAAACAAAGGCCTTGACGCCGAGGTCCACGGATTTGCGACCTGGGGGTCCCCGATGGTGTCCTCGAGGTCCACAGGACACGGGGAGTCCAACGCCGAGGTCGCCGACGCTCTAGGACAAGCGGTTCCGGAGATACGAGGACGTACCACAAGGAGTCCGTCAAAGCAACTTTTTAGTTGGAGGCCAAAATCATCATCGGGCTCTGGCTGCGTTCCACTTGGGTGTCCGGGACTTTTGACTTCAGCATCGTGTTAAGGTGGTGCTAGACTACCAGGAACCCGTCAGCGGTCGTCGTCGGACCTCCGGTGCGCCCAGGATGCCGACGAACGTGGGTGCTGTGCCGCCACACGGTTCAACACCGTTGTCGCCACCACCAAGGTGGTCCCCGATGGTGTCCTTGAGGTCCCCAGGACACGGGGAGTCTAACGCCGAGGTCGCCGACGCTCTATGACTAGCGGTTCCGGAGATACGAGGATGTACCACAAAGAGTCCGCCAAAGCAACTTTTTCGTTGGAGGCCAAAATCATCATCGGCCTCTGGCTGCGTTCCACTTGGGTGTCCGGGACTTTTGACTTCAGCATCGTGTTAAGGTGGTGCTAGACTACCACGAACCCGTCAGGGGTCGCCGTCGGACCACCGGTGCGCCCAGGATGCCGACGAACGTGAGGCACGCTGGAGCGCCGTGGCGTGGCGTGCCGGGTGCCTGAACGATCGTCGCCGCCGCCGCGGCCGCTGCCGCCGGGTTCTTTGTCGCAACCGCGAGCTTGGACGACGTGGGCTGACGCCGTTGGCACCGACGCCGCCCGGCACGCCACGGCGCGCCGGTGGTCCGACGGCGACCCCTGACGGGTTCGTGGTAGTCTAGCACCACCTTAACACGATGCTGAAGTCAAAAGTCCCGGACAACCAAGTGGAACGCAGCCAGAGGCCGATGATGATTTTGGCCTCCAACTAAAAAGTTGCTTTGACGGACTCCTTGTGGTACATCCTCGTATCTCCGGAACCGCTAGTCCTAGAGCGTCGGCGACCTCGGCGTTGGACTCCCCGTGTCCTGGGGACTTCGAGGACACCATCGGGGACCACCTTGGTGGTGGCGACAACGGTGTTGAACCGTGTGGCGGCACAGCACCCACGTTCGTCGGCATCCTGGGCGCACCGGAGGTCCGACGACGACCGCTGACGGGTTCCTGGTAGTCTAGCACTACCTTAACACGATGCTGAAGTCAAAAGTCCCGGACACCCAAGTGGAACGCAGCCAGAGCCCGATGATGATTTTGGCCTCCAACTAAAAAGTTGCTTTGACGGACTCCTTGTGGTACGTCCTCGTATCTCCGGAACCGCTTGTCCTAGAGCGTCGGCGACCTCGGCGTTGGACTCCCCGTGTCCTGGGGACCTCGAGGACACCATCGGGGACCCCCAGGTCGCAAATCCGTGGACCTCGGCGTCAAGGCCTTTGTTTCCAGACATTATCTGGGAAATTTCCAGATATTATCTGGAAAATTCTATTTCCAGATAGTATCTGGAAATGCCGTTTTTTTTCAGATATATATCTGGGATTTGACCATTTCCAGATATTATCTGGAAAAAGTAGACATTTCCAGAAAATGTCTGGAAATAAACGGCCATTTCCAGACAATGTCTGGAAACGGGAAAAAATATCTGGAAATTTCCAGGCATTGGTTTCACCGTGCTTCATATGCTAATACATACAGATGAATTATTCACACAGACACTCAGATTTTGCACTATTATGCTGACTCCTTTCCACATTCTAAAATTGTAAACTTGTTGGTTTCTGACCCAAGTTGGGTAACTAAATTGAGTCAGCTCTTGACAAGGAAATGATATTTTATCCAAAGCATGTGCTTGCTGCAGTTTTAATCAACAATCACTTCAAAAAGTTACGAGATCCTCCTTTTCTTGCAGCCAATGACATTGTTAATTTTTGACATCGTTGACATTAGGTATTTAAAAATTACTATGCCATTTATCACAGTGTTAAACATTGTGTAAAAAGTGAAAAAATGAGCTCTGCGCTTCTGAAGCACACATCTAGTTGAATGAATTTATAGGCTGAGCGATAGCGAAGCCCGTTACTCCAGTGCGGTAGAAAAGTTTTGTCTGGCTGTCTGTTTGTGTGTGTGCATTACTACTCCTGAACGGCTCGGCCGATCTAGCTGAGATTTAGCAGGGTCATAAGGCATGTTCTTAGCTCGCCACACACCAAAATGAAGCTTTCTATCTCAATCCATTCGGTCATACTGGTCAATAAAACACTTCAAAAACGGCAGAAAAATGACAACTTTATAGGTACTTTCAGCTTTTTGTCAAGTTTCGAGTCGTTTCCTATGATTTGGAGGCTGCTGATGACGAAAAGAGATCTCATTCGGATCCCCGACCCACAGTTAAGTTCAATTATCGTAGCTTTTGATGAGCAAATGTTTATTTCTGAGGGAATCACGCCCATTTCTACAGTCTGTCTAGGAAAGCATAACCTGCCGTAGGCAGGCTAGCGCTGCAGGCCAAGGTAGGTGTATACGCCAGGCGTGGATTGTAGAAACTGGCGCACCATCGCGAAGCCTGTTACGACAAGACACGTTCTGGCGTACACCTACCTTGTATCGAGAATTCCGGAATCTGTTACAAATCGCCCCAGTCTCCCTTCCACTTCAAAATGTTAATGTAAGGCACTTAAGAACCAGCTATTTCAATTCTCCCAGTTCACACTGAGAATGAAAGAGTCATGATCATGACCAAAATTTTGGGCGAGGAATTCTTTACAAGGTAGGTGTACGCCAGACCGTGTCTTGTCGTAACAGGCTTCGCGATGCTGCGCCAGTTTCGACAATCCACGCCTGGCGTTTGCACCTACCTTGGCCTGCGGCGCTAGCCTGCCTTCGGCAGGCCATGGCTTGCCCATCGTCGGTAACTTCTAAATTCCGCCCCCCAGACCCCCCTTCATTCCAGATAGAGTTGCTTCATCTACAGATAAAACGATCTTGACCGTCGTTACTTTTCAACTTGACGGGGCTGGGGGGCTCCGCCTCCCAGACCCCCCTTTCTTCAAGGCAGAAGGCATTTGCCTGCAGAAAACACTATTTTTCGCCGTTTTTAGGTGTTTTTCGGCTATAAAAACTGAACTAATTGAGCTAGGATAGTGAAATCTCGCGTGTGCCGAGCCAAGGACATACCAAAAAAGTGTGCAAAATCTCAGCCAGATCGGCCGAGCCGTTCAGGAGGAGCAGTGCTGACAGACAGACAAACACACAGACAGACATACAAAACTTTTCAAACCCACCCGAGTAACGGGCTTCGCTATCGCTCAGCCAATAACTCGATCTTGATCCTTGTAACTTTTTTACTTGTCCGGACTGGGAGGCTCCGCCCCCCAGACCCCCCTTTCTTCAAGACAGAAGCAATCTGCCAACACAAAACTCGATTTTTCGCCGTTTTTTCAGTGTTTTTCGGCTATAAAAACCGAACCAGTTGGGCTAGGTTGGTGAAATTTCGCGTGTGCCGAGCCAAGGACATACCCAAAAAGTGTGCCAAATCTCACCGAGATCGGCCGAGCCGTTCAGGAGGAGTAGTGCGGACAGACACACACACACACAGACAGACAGACAGGAAAAATTTTTCAACCCCACTGGAGTAACAGGCTTCGCTATCGCTCAGCCAATCATCCAAATTTGGGTCCTCGCCCAATTTGGGTGAGGAAGGTTTCCTTACCGAAATTTGGGTCAAAATACTATGGCCAGGATTCTCTTTGAGGGGGTAACGGAGACAAATATGACAGTGGCGTTGGAAGTGGGGTGACAAGGGGGCGCTTAGCACCCGAATTTTTAGCCCGAACGAAGCGAGGGCTTTGCGCGCAACGAACGTCAAATGCTGCCTTCTTGTAACAGACTGAGCCACTGGCGCACGTTGCTGGCAGTGCCAAGCAGTGTCAAAACTGTCTAAGAATAGGCCGATTTCCTGAGAAAACTGCCATGTCATCCGAAAAATGCTGGAGCAAGTAGAGCTACTTGTAATTTTACTGATGACTACCCGCTACAACTTGCACATGTGAGCGGTCATTTAGTGCTCGGAAGTATATAAAAAAATTACCTGAGAAGCACTATGAGCCAGAAGAGACTTACCCATTTGCTGCTCTTATTTGTGCACAGTGCCCTGTGTTCCCATATTGACTTGGATGATGTAATGAATGAGTTCATTCAGCGCACAGCCGAGCGTAGAAACAGAATTGGCCTTACAAACAAACAATAAATAAATGGATGCTTGTAGCAATTGTACATGTACGCTTAAATTAATTTATTAAATGGCGTTTTTGGCTGAGCGATAGCGAAGCCTGTTACTCGGGTGCGGTTGAAAAGTTTTTCCTGTCTGTCTGTCTGTGTGTCTGTCCGCACTACTCCTCCTGAACGGCTCGGCCGATCTCGGTGAGATTTTGCACACTTCTTGGGTATGTCCTTGGCTCGGCACACGCGAAATTTCACCATCCTAGCTCAACTGGTTCAGTTTTTATAGGCGAAAAACACCTAAAAAACGGCGAAAAATAAAGATTTCTGCAGATAGACCACTTCTGTCTTGGAGAAAGGGGGGTCTGGGGGGCGGGCCCCCCAGCCTCGACAAGTTAAAAAGTGACAAGGGTCAAGATCGTGTTATCTGTAGATAAAACAACTCTATTTAAAATGCAGGGGGGTCTGGGGGGCGGAGCCCCCCAGCATTCAACAAGTTAAAAAATAACCGACCACGTACAAGCCATTGCCTGCCGCAGGCAGGCTAGCGCCGCAGGCCAAGGTAGGTACGCCAGGCGTGGATTGGAGGAACAGGCAGCGAGACATCGCGAAGCCTGTTACGACAAGACGCGGTCTGGCGTAAACCTACCTTGTTATACCTTAACACCTCCTTCTTTCATTATCCCAAATGTTGCTCCTACAAATGCAATGCCAATTTTTTAAAATTTGACACTCCCCAAATAACAAAGACCCCTGTTCAAGTTAGAGATGTGCGAACAGCCAAGATCGAATTTCAACGAACACTTCGAAAGCCGTCTATTCGAATGAACTAAACTAACAATTTTAAAGTTTTCTCGAACTAACCGAACGAACAAGATTTTTGTTCAGATCCGATCGCACGAACCTGTTAAATTAATGCTTAAAGGGTCCTTGTGTTCGTGCACGAACATTATTTGTTCATTATATCGAACAGTTCGGGGCCGAACACCGTGAGTTCAGGTTCGAACGAACCGTCCATTGTTTGTTCGAATGCGGACATGTTCGCACATCTTTAGTTCCAGTAACGTTTGGCCGATACTCCTTGGTACACTCAGAAAAGCTTGCAAAGAAAAGAACTTTGCAGTACAAAGTATTCTCCGGCATTGTATTACAAACTCCCTTGCGAACCTTTTTTCTTCGCATTGCAAAGAAATGGTTCGTAAGTTGCGAAGAAAAAAATTTGTAGCGTTGCGAAGCATTGGTTTGTAACGTTTCGGAGCATTTTCTTCGCAAGTTGCAAAGAAATACTTCGCAAAGCAAAGAAAGTAGTTTGTAAGAGAGTTTGCAATACAATGCCGGAGAATACTTTGCAAGGTTTTTTGAGTGCAATTCCTTCAAAATTTCTTCGAAAAATCTTAGAAAAGTTTCAACGGTGAAGGTCGTGGTACCTTTGGATAGTGCATCAAAACACACCAAACAACGGACTGCAGTCAAATTGAGACGACATTCTGTCCTTATGATCGTCATCAGGTCTCTTCAGTGGTGCGATAATGTCCAGTAGTACGAGCCAGTCGGGAGTGTACCAGGGGAAGCCGTGGGACATGATGCGACGAACTACCAAGCTGTTTGGTGGCCCCTCCACCGCAAGTCCCTCTCATATGGTCAACTTTTTGAGGACCATTCCGGCGTTGGTTCTAGCTGGTGGCTTCTTGGAAATTGCCACTGAGGATGTAAGCATGTCTGAAGGGTCAGCGTGTTCTGAGTTTCCTGCACTGCAAACCTAACTGTCTACTAAGGACACACTTACAAATGCATGCTTGCAAGTACACACTTACAAACGCATGCTTGACGCATGGAGTTGTACGGCGTCAAGCATGCGTTTGCAAGTGTGTACTTGCAGGCATGCATTTGTAAGTGTGTACTTGGCCAAGCATGCGTTTGTAAGTGTGTACTTGCAAGCATGCATTTATAAGTGTGTACTTAGTAGACAGTTAGGTTTGCAGTGTGTAGCGCCCGACGTTAACCGGTTGATTCCGTCGGTGCAAGAGCAAAAACGTTGGGGTCTGGCCGTGCGATTTAAGATGGATTCCCAGACTGCGATTTTGGGTTTTCCGAAACAGTACGTCAAAGAAAACGGTACACCTTAGGCGTACTATTTCATCACACTTGCAGCATGGGCTTTAGGCCCTAACCACGTAAATGCGCTTCAGATCAGGGTGACAACAGTGATTCCTTCAATGGGTCAAGCTCACCTGGGCCTCAAAGATGAGTCCATTGAACGCACCATTAGTTGGGCATGGCCCGTCATGGAGTGAAGGCGAGTGCATTGTGCGGAAGGACATCTTAATGGCCTCGACCTTGCAGGATGCTATCCGCTCAAGATGTGTATAAACGCACGAAGGCGCATCGTTTCGATACGTGTCACTTCTTTGTAGCATTGTGTCACATTTGATTGGGTGTGAAATGGCAAAAATTTAGCTTGTTCACATTCAAACGAACGTGGCACAATGGTCAAACGAACGTGACATTTTGTCACGTGCGTTTCAACGTGATGTCACGTACTTGGAATGAGTGTACAAAGCTTGCTTTGTATTACGAAGAAATGCTTGGAATAACGATGGATTTTGCTTCGGAATACGAAGCAATTCTTTGAGAAATTTACCTAACTTTCTACCGTGCAGAGTGGTAATGTTGCGCCCTGACAAGTTAATTGGTTTTCTTTAGAGGGGCCGATATAATAGCCCTGCCGCATTGTTAACTGGGTAGATTCTTGTACGGAAGTATCAGTCAAGCTTTACATTTCATTGGGTAAGTCACTGACTTTTGTAGGAGATAAAGCCGTTGGTGCCAACCCTCCCCTGTCGTGCCATTGTCGAGCCAGCCAACAGTGGGGAACCAGCGTTCCTCGCAGAGGATCCCAACGACCTCCTTGTTGCCGGCCGCTACACGAAAGTCCCCATGATCATCGGAAGCAACTTGCACGAGGGCACCCTCTTCTTTGGCCGTACGTTTCGTCAGTTTTCCTGTAAAATGTCTCATTTTTCAATTCAGTGCAGCAGGTCCCTGCCCTTGTACAGCCGTCAATAGACGTAAAAAGTAACGCCATTATGCTTCAAACAATCTTTTTTGAGCGGTCTTGCTACCGCTTCTAGCTCTGCATCCGATCCCACTCATCCCATCCATCCCATCCATCCCATCCATTCAGCGCACTCGGAGGGGACTGCATGGTCGTGTTGGTTCCGTCGTCGTCGTTCGTCGTCGTCCTGCGCCGCCACGCCGCGCCGCCGCGCCAGTCCCCACTCCTCATAGCCACCCCCTCCCTCCTTGCCCCCTCTCTGCCCGGCCTGGCCTGCCGGGCCACGGCAAGACCGCTTTGCTAAGCTTGCCTTGGCGGAACTTTTTTTAAATTTATTTTACTGCGTCTTTTGACAACGCTCTTTAAATCTGCACTGCAAACCTAGCTGTCTACTAAGTACACACTTACAAAAGCATGCTTGCAAGTACACACTTACAAACGCATGCTTGGCCAAGTACACACTTACAAATGCATGCTTTCACACAAACGCATGCTTGACGCATGGAGTTATACGGCGGCAAGCATGCGTTTGCAAGTGTGTACTTGCAAGCATGCGTTTGTAAGTGTGTACTTGCAAGCATGCATTTGTAAGTGTGTACTTAGTAGACAGTTAGGTTTGCAGTGTGTCAAGCTTTTGTCAAAATACTCGTGCAATATCCCCGTGCAGCTTAATACCGAGTAGCCCGGAGTAGCCTACACGATGTCGTGAAGTGGTCACCCCCTCGTCCATGCCACCTGGAATGAAGCTTCACACCTTGAAGGTGCGCAGTGAACACCGAGTCGGCGCTGGACGACGCGCTGCAGCAATTCTCTCGGCGCCTAGTGCCCGCCCAGTTGAACCAACTCCTCGGCGACGCGGGGCGACGCCGGGCAGGGCAGCGAATCCGGGACGTGTACCTGCAGGGCCGGCCGGTGAGCCGCCAGACGCTGCCTCAAATCGTGGAAGTATGTAAGAAGGAACCCACTGACTCCCGCGGGCAGGGCGATACCCGAACGATACGACTCTGTAAACGATATGATTGAACACTTTGCTTCTTTCCTTGTATAAAATGCCTCCGTCACTCTGAGAAAAAATGACGGTAAATCCTGGATACCTTTTTTTGCCAAACTTTACCGTACTTCAAAGACCAGTATCCACCGTACAGTCTACAGTTTTTACCGTACTTGTTTTGCAAAATATTCCCTAGTCTTTTACAGTGGCGGATCCAGAGTCGGCCCAAGGGGGGGGGGGCAAAGTAGCACTTTTTGCCTACTTACAGGGGCAAATTGTTGCTTTTTGCCTACCTTTCAGGCGGCTATCTAGGGGTCAAGGGGGGGGGCAATTGTTCTTTTGCTCTCCCCCTCCCCCGATCCGCGCTTGGTCTTTTAACAGTAGTTACCGTTCTTCCGTACAGTCCATGCCGTAGGAAGGACCAGATCTGGCCCAAGAAAGGCTGTTTCAAAGAATTGTCCAACTCAGGATCTTGATAAAAAGGGGTCGACCGACTGAAAAATTTTATTGCACCTTTCGATAGGTCTCGTCAAGACCTTTACAACGAGTGGTCGGAAGGGGGTCGTGGAGTCCGACTTCAGCAGATGTGTACATTAGGAACTTGGAAAAAGAGAGTCAGCCGACTGAACAAAATTATAGCAGTTTTTGATAGGTATTAAAAGTACGGGATTCCCTGTAAGAAGTATATGGTGAAGTCTCGAGTAATCAGTGCAGGATTGACCGTGATCTTTTCTCGCAGTGGTTAGGAGTCGTAGTTCATGAAACGCACCGTAAGGGAGGCGAACCTACCTAGTTTTCTATTGTGGTAGCTCACGTCAACTTTTAGTCGTTTCTTCCGAATTCTTCTTGAAGCAGAGAGAGAGGTAAACAGTATGCATCTTTCGTGTTCAGTCAATCAACATCACTGTCGACACGGAAAAAAGAGGAGGTGCCCTTTCTCAAATACCTTCCTTGCACTGTGGCAAAAAGGTACGGAAAATTCTGTTAATTTTATTGCCAGGATTTTCCGTAGCCCTCTTATCAATATTCTCCGTAGGGCCGTACAGTATTCTCTGTAAGTCCGCACAGTCTTCTCCGTAGGACCTGGAAGACTGTTTAGTCCTACGGAGATCAGTTAAGGTCCTACGGAGAATACTGTGCGGTCCTACGGAAAATACTGTAAGAGCCTACGGAGAATATTGATAAGGGGGCTACGGAGAATTCCCACAAGCTGCTTACAGAATTTTCCGTAGGTTTTTGCCACAGTGTGTCTTTCTCGTGTTCTCGTATGAACCATCTAAGCGGCAATATCTCTCAAATTTGAAGAAAAATGAAAACGAGCCTTGCAAAACAAGATTTTACAGCCTGTACAAGTCTGAAATTTCCAAAAGTAGCAACGTGTTAATTTTGAGTCAGGTGTTGAAGATTTGATTGACTGAATCTGAAGAATAGATAGCTTTTTTCAATGACGTGAGGAGAAATAAAAAGTTTAACTGAAGCTGACGTAATCGTCCAAAACTCAGAAACAAGGAGCCCTTAACTTAAGGAATCAATGCTACACGCTCTCAGCACGCTATTGACTTTTTGATCATTTTATCAGTACTTATGCAAATAATTTGTGCAACCATAATACGTACTTTTCCTTCCTTAAAGAAGTATTTAGGAAATATTAAATAATGTACTGAGAATTTTGTTTGGTGCATAATGTTACAAAGGAAATTAGTCATACTTACTTAAAAATACTAAGTATTATTGCTGTCTATACGAATAGAGCATTTTAGTTGTCGCCGATCGAAGAACAAGAAGAAGAACAAAACCGGAAGCCAGGAAGAAACGGAGTAGGTGTCAAACCCGGTTCCAACGAGAAATGTCGACAAATATTTTTATTTCCTGAGTCTTAAAGTGTTTGAAACAAACGAAAAGGCTTATGAAGGAGATACGCCACAGAAACCTCGGGAACTAGTCCACTCATATAAGTCTGAGAGGGTTATCTTGCCGGGGCCAGTTCCGGCTTTGTTCTTCTTGAGAAGCGGAAAAAGGGGATAAGTCGAAAAACACGATTTTTCAGGAGAGGCGAAAAACATGTTCCCGTATAATATTCTATACTTCGGGTGCGCCATCTTGTTCGCTTTGCAATGCTGATCAACATAGAAAAAGTCATTTTAACAAAGCGTTAATGGTTTTGTAGATATGTCAAGACTCTGACTTATCTCGTTTGGTCGCGCCTGTCAAAACGAGACAAGTCGACTTGTCCCACTGCCCACTCACGCACCCTACGAGTTATTTCGACTTATCTTTCCGGACCTGAGAGCACTTGGAGCTACGTCGACTTATCCACTGCGCATTCACGCGCTGAAAGAGTTAAGTCGACTTAACTCTCTGAAGCTTAAGGTTTTTAGGGACATGTCGACTTGTCCCTTGTACACTCATGCACTCTATGAGCTAAGTTGACTTATCTCTCGGGTGTTTTTCCCCGTTGGGGTTGTGTCGATTTGTCCCCTTTAGCAAATAAAATTGTTTAAAAGATTAGGAGATAAGTCGCGTGTGTTTTGGGTACGAGGAACTAGAAGCAATTCGTTAGAGGAAAACAATGCTCCTCAATTTTAGTCAAAGATTACCGTGTGTTTATTAAAATAATCATAAGTACTGCAATGCGAAAGAGTGACAGTTCACCTGCCAAAAAGAAGGAAAAAACAAGCTTAACGTGACACATTTTTGGCCCGCCCTTCTATTCAAAAAATAGGGGGAGGGCCTATGCATTTGCCTTTGTGTCTGTGTGTTGTTGTTGTTGTTGTAGTTGTTGTTGTTGTTGTTGTTGTTGGCGTCTGTGTTCAAGGAAGGAGTTGAGCTAGAGTAACCAGATTTGGAGGGTACTTCAGGAGTACCGTCCAAACAAATAATCCGGTGGTGCAAATCCCGTCCGGGTCGCACAAGGGCTGCTGCAGGTGCATCATGGTTTACATGAGCGGGAGGGGGATTTCCGCCATTATTGGTGCTAGCAGGGCACATAGGGGTATTTTTGGAATCGGGGCGACAAGACAAGATGAATGGACCTGGTCCCGACCCCATCGGCCGCTTTTACGAGTTTGCCAGATCAGGATCTTCAAAAAAGGGGGTCGACCGACTAAAAAAATTTATTGCAGATTTCGATTGGTCTCAGCAAGACCTTTTCAACGAGGGGTCGGAAAGGGGGTCCAGGAGCCCGACTTCGTCTATTAGTCACATCAGGATCTTGAAAAAAGGGGGTCGACCGACTGAAAATTTTTACTTAAGTTTTGGATAGGTCTTGGCAAGACCTCTTCAACGAGGGGTCGGAAGGGGGGTCCAGGAGCCCGGCTTCATGAGTTATGGGGAAAAGTGCGACGGACTCGTTTTGCGCTCCTGCTGTGCCTCTATTGCAAGGAGTTGCAGTAGCATGGCAAATATGGGTATTTTCGGAATGAGGGCGAAGAGACAAATGTAATGGGCATATTCTAAGGACAGTTGGAGTAAAAAACGCTAACGCTAACGTGGAAGCAGATGACATTCTAATGAGAATGTTTATTTTAATATGCTTGTTTATCACTTCATAGCTGCCGGGCCCTTTGACGTTTACGCTCTCGTTGTTCTTCGGTCAGCTTCCTGGGGGCCATAGCTTTGGGCAGTGATTGCCGCTTCACGTGCTTCTTCCCATCTTGTCTGTGTACTCCACACACGCAACGCGCTCCTTCGGGCCAGCCGGCGACACTGTTGTTGTTCAGTGCGTGCGAGGCCCCCGCTCCCCTCGCCTCCAGCGGCATGCGGCGTCGCCGGCGGCGGGGTCGCGCTGCATCCTGCATCGGTATCGGCCGAGCGAAGCCGACCTAGCTCCGAAGGCGGTACGAGCTGAGCAGGCCACGCTAGGCCCCTGCTTGAGAGCCGAGCCGAGCCGGCCGAGCCTTGCCTAGGCACGCAGCACGCCGCGCCCTGCGCCCAGCGCTGGCGGCGGGGAGGTAGAAGGGGGGGGGGGGGGGGCGGCCCCAGGCCATGCCCTTTGCCGGCCCAGGCCGGCTTCACGCACGCCGGCTTCACTCACAGACGCACGCACGGTCCCGCCCCGCCTTAAAACTATCTCGAGAGTAAAAGCAAGCTGACACCTTCATTGCAATTGTATAGCTTGCTTTTGCTTTAGCAACGGTGTCATCTGCTAAAAAGTGTAAGGACTATTGCATATTGTGAATAGAAGGGCGGGCCTAAGTCACGATGGTACATCGATAACTGTGCTTTACCCGCTCACGGGGTGTGTGATGCGAGCGGGCCGAAGGCCCGGGCCTTCGACTGGCCAAGTTGGGTCTGATGCGAGGGCCGAAGGCCCGAGAAAAGGCCGCCGGCAGGCCAAGCTGGGCCGGCCCCCTGTCGAACCGAGTTGCCGGCGCAGCGAAGCGGAGCTGGCAACTCGGTTCGACGGAAGGGCGGGTCCTAGCTTGTTTAAAATTAAATTGTCTAACATAATGCATTATTGAACATGCTTTATATTTAGATATTGCAAAGACACTGCAAAGCCAGTGGTAAGGTTGCTTGCCACAAATTTGGCAAGCCGTTTTGAATGCCAAAATTTGGCAAGCTTTGGTCGGCACTCGTCATAAGCTTGCCAAATTTTGGCAAGCTGGGGAGTAATTCCGGGCGAAGCTTGCCAAATTTTGGCAAGCTGGGGAGTATTTCCGGGCCAAGCTTACCAATTTTTGGCATTCAAAACGG